ACACACACACACACACACACACACACACACACACACACGAGTTTTATTATTTTAATATTAAATTCGAATTGTGCTAGGATAACAAATAAAATTCTATGTAAAACGATACGATAGATTATATTTTATAATATTATCCTTTCACCTTCGTCGTTCGATGAAGCAAAAAAAAAAAAAAAGGAAAGAAAAGAAGAAAAAAATTCAAGGACAATATAAAACCTGGAGATTATTAATAAAAAAAAAAAACAAAAAAAAATAAAAGAATTACTACACAAAAAATGATCTACAATTAAGAATAAAAATGATTGAATGTAATAATTAGTCAGACGAAAAAAATGGTGAGAAAACTATTATTATTATTATCAATTTTATCGATTTATTATAGGAACGAAAATTTATCGAGAAAAGTCACTAAAGATAGTATAATAAATTTCAATAGCTTTTGTCGACGTTAAAAGCTCTCGCCTCTTCTACTTGTTACAACGTTTAAAGATCGAGAAGTACATTGGGGTAGGAGGTAAAGCGACTAGGTAAGTAGCCTTGTAAAAGGTTAGAGAAGAACCAGCGGTGAGGTTATAATTGGATAGCTAAGGTAAAATGAGGAGAAATTAGAGAAGCAAAAGGAAGAATAGAATGAGATAGTGAGAATAATGAAAGAAAATGAAAGAAAAAAAGAAAATGAAATGAAAAAGAGATAGACATAGAGATAGTTGTAAAGTAGAGAGAAAAAAAAGAAAAGAAGAGAGTGAGATATATAAAAGACAACTTTGCTTTTCTAGGGTTGCGAAACAACAGGGCGGCTGTTTTTCTCTTATGTTAGATAGACCTTGGGCGAGAATACTAAACTAGGTCTTTTTACCTTCGTTTCTCTCCTTCAATCTTTCTTCTTTCTTCTTTCTTTTTCTTTTTCTCGTTAGCAACGAAGACTTATAAGAAAAGGGGTTTGTTAGGGAGGAAGAAGAAGAAGATGAAGAAGAAGAAGAAAAAAGTCGTATATCCGCGGAGTGAACGCCTCTAAGAATAAACTTGGAGGTTAAGATCGTTGAAAAAGGGGGATGGAGAGAGAGCAAAGTGGTTAGCACGTTGCAATCTCTAAGATCGATAAAGGGGTTTATCAGAGAGTGGCTACTTAGACATTTTATGTTTACTAAACTTTTTCTATTATTTGTACTTCAGGTTCTGAAGTTTATCGTCTGTTAGATTGGAATTGAAATATTTGGGGAATATTTAACAATATCGAGTAATTTGATATAATTGATGAATTATAATATATCAAATTACAATTTGATTGATGATCATTATTTAGAATATGTTTTAAATCAGTTGGAATAAATTGCACTTACTTGATGCAAAGCAGGTGATCTATTGGCACTGTGACTTCTAGGCGAGTTGCAGTTAGAGTCGAATCCTTTATCCCCTTTTTTACGATCCTTCTTTTTCTTAGATCGCACAATGTGTGCCTCCATCCACGTGCGCAATTTCGTCCCGAACATGATGCAATTGATTCCGTTCAACGGATCGTTGTCACCTCGAAAATGCACAAGTGGATAGAGGTCGACACACCTTTTAAACGGCTTTAAATTTTATTTTTATATTTATCTATCCACTCGTTCATCGAATACATGTCTCCGTTCCAACTTGAAACGGTCTATTCTGTGAACAATCAAATAATTATTGCGTTTTTAAAGTATTTTATTACTTTTATCCAAGATTTTTTATTATACTAACTAGGGATGCCCCGCTACGCGTTGCTGTGGCTCACAATCAGTCCGATACACAAGTCTTTAAGTCAACGAATTACCTTTTACCGCCATCTGTTAGAATCTTATCGAACTAACAGAGATAATCATGACTCTTTAAATTGAGATATAAACTATTCTATCTTTCAAGTTGAATGAAACTGCACACAGTGTACAAAATTTGATTAAAATCGGTTCAGTAGTTTAGGAGTCCATTGCGGACAAACAACGTGACACGTAATTTATATATATTAAGAAGATTTATTTTCTTCTTCCCTCCAGATTAAAAAGTTTCAGTATTTTTATACGTACAATTTGAATGTAGTAAATTATTAAAATTTCGATAAAAAGCGATTGATTTTTATTCAATAACGCTACAGAATTTTTTTTTTTGCTCCTGCATATAATTTAAACGAAAAAATTAATTGAAATATCAAAGATTTGTTTAACGATTTATCCATTAGAATTATTTGAATGTAACACGAATAAGGGAATTTATCTTTTTTTTTTTTTTCATCTTAATATAAATCCTTGGCACACTTCCATACATATATTTCTACGATTTCTTTCAAGGATATTATCTTGGTATGATTTTTCAACCAATGTATTTTGTAAATGTCGTTCTCGCATAAGTGCACGTGTAGTAATCCATAGAGTATCGAGTAACCGATTACGATCATCGATTCCCTGTAGACTATCAGCAAGCAAGTTTCATTCTCGCATATTTTGTCTCGAGTTACTATGTCGTATAAGTATACTTATATACTATTATAATCATGATATAGGTATAGATATATGTAATACATATTTCGAAAGACGATACATGTGTCTTTTTGTGATCAACATTATCGTCTTGAATTATCACTATTTAAATGCAAAATTGACATAAAACATTTCTTTTTTTTTTTTTTTTTTAACTTGTATTATAACAACGATTTATTGTAACCAATTTAAACTGATAAGTTGTCATGCTGCAATATTATTTAGAATGGATAAATTAAAGTGTATTTATCTTATTGGTAAAATTTATACTTAGTTGTTCATAGAATTTAAAAGATAAATTGTTTATCGTTCATTCAACTCACTTAAGTTGTCGTCATTGTTTAAAAAGCCTTTCTTTCTATCTTTTTATTCTATTAGCGTGGATAGCCAGCACGTTTCTCTCCCAGTGGCCATTTTTCGATCTCGGGAGATGAATCTGTAACAAATTCATTTGAATATGTTAAAATAAATAACAAATACAATTATTAAATATAATAGAAATTTTATTTATTTTATTATAATTTGTTTTATTGTATTGTTGATACTATTTATTAAATATTTATATATAGAATATTCTCATTTCTAATTCAATCATTTGTAAATGAAATTCAATCTTTTTGTAAATCAAATATTTACTACAAAAATCGTTAGAAGCTTTAATTATAAATTTGTTGATCATTGGTGAACATAATGATAGCAAAATTTTATGCATTATACAATTTTACCACATTTTCTTAGGATTAAAAGGTCGAGTTTTAGATCCAAGGGTCTAAATTTGAAATGCAAAATGTTGAATTTGAAATACAAACACTCGAATTAGAAGTACAAACGTTTGAATTTGCAATTTAAATGGTTTAATTAGAAGAACAAAATGTTGAATTTAGAATCCAAAGGTTTGTGAACGTTCAATGCAAAAGGTTTAAATTTGAAATGCAAACGTTTAAATAGGAAGTACAAAAACGTTGAAAGTAACAAGAAAAAAAAAATAAATTGAATAGAAAGTACGAAAAAAAAAATTGTACGCACTATGTAATATTAAAATGCAATGTATGCAGACGTTATCTAGAGAATTGTTTATTTGCGAAAAGACGAAGAAAAATCTCTTGGGATGGCATCAAGTAAGGTAAAAATTTATCCCGAAGGATCAATCGGATGCTGTACACGTCGTCCCGATCCCATGGACCAGACACCAACGTGTTTTTCGTGCTTTTCGTGTTTTTCACTTCCGATCACGTACTGTCATGCGAAAAAAGGGGAGAAAAAGAAGAAAAAAAAGGAGAAAAAAAAAAGAAGGATTTTCCTGATTCAATCATTCTCATCAACGCCATATCTTTTCTGTCCCGTGTTATCTCGTGAGACTTGTACCGATTCCGAGAATATGTTTCCTACTTTCTATTTTTATCTCTTCTCTTTCGCATTACTTTCCTTCCATTTTAATCTTCGTTCCTTTTACAATAATTTTCATCATCCTCGAGCAAATTAAAATGAAGCAGCGAATAATTTCATAATAATTATATTTTATTATCTTCATTAGTTTAATATAATCATATATTTTCAAAACTATATGTTATTGAAGTATTTACAAATAACAATATTTATAATAATTAATAGCTAAAATATGTTTTATTTTATCCTTTTTTAATTTTAGTAAGAAACGTAAAATTGAGGGAAGAATCGTATCATTAACTCTACTTTAAGCCTTTTTCAATTTCTACGAAAATATCTTCCATTAGGATAACCTAAATCCGTCGGAATTCGATTAAGTATGTTAATTGTTCGTGAAAGTGTTAAATTCGTAGCGGTATTCTGTAATTCCCTTTGTCTTTCTTTTCAACGCTAAAACTTAATCTCTTTTTCTTTTTTATACACTGCTAGTGTTAATCCACTCATCTGCATAATGTTTCGACTAAATTCGACTTTACAACATAGGGTTGTGTCATACCAAACTTTCTCAAATTACTCTTCGATCCTACACACCCTACAATTATTTTCTGTTTGTAATATGTATCTCGAGTATAGTATATATCACTTGTGAATATCATTACTATGATTAACAAGTTCGTCGCCCAGCCCGTTTCGGTTGAGTTTCTCGCCAGGCCCAAAATTCAACTGTTGGCGCGCCGTAACGTAAAGAAGCGATAAGTAGAAATATCAACAATGCAACCCGAGTATTATGGTTATATTATATTATTATATTTTATTTACCGAAAATAATAAAATATAAAAATATCTTTTATTTATCGAAAATAATAAAATATAAAACTATCTTTTATTTACCGAAAATAATTTTGTTTCGAAATGGGAAATGTGATAAGTTTTTTCAACTAAAAATACTATAACTTCAACAAGAAGAGCGTCACCGTATACGGTGACAGGGCCCCCGGGGAAGCACGCCCGTTTCCGGTATACGGTGCTATGGCGACGAACGTGTTAAATTCGATTATGGGTGGATGATAAATCAGCCCGTATCGTAGTATTTCGTTAATTACATAGTATATAACATTTTTATAATAACAGTTAACAGATAACAAAAAAAAAAACAGATCATTTTGATTATTGTTTATATAAATTCAAATAAAATAAAATTTGACCGTTGTCAGAAGAATATTTTTGTGAATGTCAATTTGAAATGGTTACGAGACAGAAATAGGTAGGTAGGTTTTAATCAAGGTTTAAGTTTACCCTTCGGTATCATCGTTATTATGGCATGGTACTACTCGCGATAAATTACAGAGGGTAGTTGCAGTAGCTTTGGCTAACCCTTTCAATCGTATACGACTAGTCCCCGTTTGGCTTGGCAAGCGTAGAAACGGACCACTAACGAGCTCTTGTTTCTAACTAATCGGCAAGCAATCGGCGTTAGTTCAAACGGCTACTCTCGTTACCGATTAAATCCTTTCGTTCGTTTCCTTTTCGGTCTATTTGGCAAATTCAAGATCAAAGGTTTTTTCTTGTTTCTTTTTTTTCCATTTCTTTTGAATACTTTCTAGTCACATAAAAAGATTTCTTTTTTATTTTGTTGTGAAAGTGGGGGATGATGTTTTCAAAAATTTTATTCAATTTAAATCAATCGAATGGAATGTCGAAAAAGCTGAAGAAACCTGACCTGATATTAAAAGAGTAACACAAAAAACAGAAATCGGAGATTCATGTTATTTCCGTTTCCACTTTAATTAGTTAACGTCTCAGAAGGTAACCAGGGAAGTTTGGCAAAAGCGCTTTTGACAGGGTGCACCCAAATTCTGAAGGGTGGCTCGCATTACCTAGGGTAAAGTCCTTCCTCTACTTTATCTGTCCTTTATGTGTGTGTCTCTTTTTGTGTGAGTATGGGAAAGGGGGTTTCTGTTCTGAACTTAAACGAGTTGTAGGGTGACGAGAACGAAATGACGAACGTATTAGTCGGGAAGGAAGTTTCAAGGTTTTATTTTTTCTTTTACAAACTTGTCTTTAAAAATTATCGTTAACTTGACCGAACGTTCGTGTCATAAAAGAAATGACTAATTAAACGGAAATTTCATTTTCCTTCCGTAAGAAATTATGCAAAATAAAAAAGTATTATGATCTTTAATCAAACGCAAAAAAAGAAAAAAGAAAAAAATAAACAAAATAGAAAATAAATTTATATTTGTACGATAGTAGTTAAAAATTCGTTCACATAAATTTTCGGTTATGTATTTCTAACTATTGAAATGTTAAATAAAATTTTTTTTATTATTATTCAAATATTTATATTTATTAACCTTTTTTTATACTCGAAAATGAACCAATAAAATTCAAAAGAAACTTTAATGTTTAACTCTTGAAAGTAGTTCGAATAAATATAAATATTCAAACTAAAAATAATTAGTTATAAATAAATAAGCTAATAATTATCATCTCTTTTTCTCTCTCTCTCTTGTGCTCGGTTTTTTTTTTATTTTCAAAATGGAAGTGAAGAAAAGTTTCTAACGCCTGCAAGATTTATCGACGTTTCAAAGTTAACGTGACGTTAAAGCCACGTCCACTCGACCGTCCTGAAAGCCAAGAGGAGTCTCTAACGTTGACGTACTAATACATATATACACACAACAAGAACACACATTTACGAACATACATACATACATATATATA